TTTCTGGCGCCAAAAACGTTATCAGACAACGAAAGTGAAAAGGAGGATTCAAACTCTTCGGAAGAGCCAGAATCAGAAAATGAAAACGACTTAACGAAATCCCAAGTAAAGTCAGCAATGAAGACGCTTTTTGCCGCATTCGGGCCAAAATTAAAAATTTCCAAAGCGCCAACGAAGAAGCAAGCGAACAAGCCGATGCTTCAAGACCTGCACGCTCCCATCCTGACTTCGAGAACGACGACGCCCGAGCCCAGAGAGCCATGTCGATTCCGCCCTACACCGCAGACCGAAGCAAGTGCCAACGCACCCAAAAGAAAGAAAAGAACAGCCGCCGCCATCAGAACTCCTAAGACCGAGCCAGAGACCGACTCGTCTGAAGAGGAACGGAGCGAGCGAGCTGCAATGGAGAGAACCTTCCACGATGACGTCAAAGAAGAAATGAACAACGCGCATGTGCGAAACTACGTAGACGGTCCGGAAAGACTTGAACTGGCCAGAGAACCGCGCAGACTCGTTGCGAGCATTCCCATGCCGTTTTGCAATTTTCTACACTTGCGAGACCACGGACTGCCTCAGGTTGTAAGTAATGGACAAAATAATGTGGGTAACTTACCCAGTGACTTCCCAAAACTTAGAGTTGATGGCATTAATTTACAAGAATGGTATCAACAGCTCCAAGTTGTATTTATGAAAGAAAATTTACTATTCTTTATCACTAGTCCCCCAAGAAGACCTTGGACTTTAAAAATAGATTGTTTACACCATAAGGCATTTTTCTTAATAATATCTAGCGTGTCTCCTGCAATGTATCATAGCATCAAACCAAACCTAACTGTTTCAGAAATAATTCAATGCATGTTTAATTTGTTTCACAGCGATAGTGTAGCTACCACCACAAGAATGTCTAAGGACTTCTTTTCTTCCAGAGTAAAACCAGGGGTTTCCATAAGTGAGCATTTAATATCTTTAAACAAAATAAGAGCTGAGCTGCATTTGAGGGGGGAAGTGATTTCAGATCAAACAATGAAAAGTGTTATTATCAACTCACTTGATTCATCATGGGATAGTTTTATGTCACACTTAGACACCATCAATCTAGGATATTTGTCAATAGAAAGTCTATCTAACAAATTGATAGCAGAAGACAATTCAAGAAAAAATCGTTATAGCAATCACACAGAACACAAACCTTTTAGGAAGGTAGCTTTCCAAGAAAAATATAATGAAACCTTTAAATGCCACAATTGTGGGTCCAGAGAACACAATAGAAGAGATTGCCCCAAAATCTCAAAAGAAAGACATAGGTCAGAATATAGGAATAAATACAATTATAGACAGTCTTCCACAGACAGACATAAATATAGAAGCCCACCAAATTACAGAGAAAATAGAGGGGGCAGAGAAAATTCAAAAGAGAGAAAATCTGGTTCACTGAATGGACTAAATAAACAAGATAGCACCAAAACGCAACCAAATGAGAACAATAATTGGCTTATTGATTCTGGAGCAACTAATCACACCACTAATAACAAAAATATATTGTCTTCATTTACAGAAGATAAGTTTGTAATAAAAGTAGCTAACCAAGAAAAAGTTCAAGTACTAGGCAGAGGGAATGTGACCTTGCCTGGTCTAGGAAAAATAGAGGGGGTATTGTTAATACCAGAAATACCTCATAACATACTAAGTGTCATAAAATTAAGCAGAGATTCTGACATCAATATAGTTTTCTCAAAGGGAAAAGCAACTTTAGAGAAGAATAAAACTAATGTAGGCACTGTGATGATTAAAGGAGGCCTACCCTATCTGATAACAAAAGAAAGATGGTTACATAACATTGATTCAAATATGGAAGATTGCATTGAGGCAGATGATGAAAATATTAGTAACAGTGACAATGATGAATGTAAAATATCTCATGGTCACACAGATACACACAATGAGAAGAAACCAAAAATAGGTAAACCAATACATGACGAGTGTGCTCATATCTTACATAGGAAGTTAGGACATGCAAGTTTTCCTGTAGTACAAAAAATGATTGAACACGCTGAAGGTGTCAAAATAAAAAATTGTGAAAATTATTTGGAATGCTCAGTATGTAAATCTACTAAATTAAAAACTAGTCCCAGGCCAAAAAAATCCACCAGATCAACTAACAAAATTTTTGACTTAGTACACATGGACTTAGTTGGTCCATTAACTCCATCAATCACTTATAGAAAACGTTACTTCCTAACAATAGTAGACGATTATAGTCGCTATGGTTTTGTTTACACATTAAAACACAAGGATGAAACCTTTCAAAAATTTAAGGAATTTTATAAACGCATAGAAACACAACATAATATCAGAATAAACCAATTATGACAGATAGGGGATGTGAATTCATGTCTAAGGAATTCTCCCAATGGTTAAAGGATAGAGGAATGTTACATTACACATCTAGTCCATTTTCTGCGTTCCAAAATGGGATTGCAGAGAGAAAGAATTCCACATTACAAACCATGATTAGATGCACATTAGAGGATGCTGGTTTAGGCAAACAATTTTGGTCAGAAGCCCTACATTATTCAAATTACACTCAAAATAGAACCTGGTCCAGTATTGTGAATAAGACACCATATGAGGTGATGTATAATAGGAAACCAAAATTAGCACACATGCACATATTTGGGGTCACTGCAGACGTACACATACCCAAACAATTGAGGAGAAAGGGAGAAAACGTATCCAGAAGATTAAGATTTATGGGATATGAAACTGGCACCAAAGGGTACAGATTCATTGATAATAATAATAAATTTATAGTTTCCAGAACAGCTGTGTTCCATGAACAGGCCAACTGGTCTAAATTACATCTTAATGAAATATTTCCGAATAAATGCAAGGATACCAAATCTCGTGAGGAAGGGACGATAGAAAATCAAAATATTAACAGAAGCAAAAACAAAACCAAAACATGGACAAATAGTAAACACAAAATAAAGACAGACACATTAACAAAAAAGGAAGCAAGATATTTGCATGACTACCATAGCAAACCTGAAAGAACTATTAGGAAGAACAGAAATCAAATACCAAATAAATACAAAGATTACATAATGCATATGGATGGTGAACAAATAACACCTAATACATATGAGGAAGTATTAAAACTACCTCGTGAAGAAAAAGAAAAATGGGAACTAGCTATGAAAAAAGAGATGGAGAGCTTACAAGGATTAAATGTATTCACACCTGCGATTGCACCCAAAGATAAAACAATTATTGGTACCAGGTGGATTTATAAAATTAAGAATCTAGAAGGAGGCAATACCTTATACAAAGCTAGATTGGTTGCACAAGGTTATGCACAAAAATATCCGGAGGACTATACTGACACATACTCCCCCACAGTAAGAACAGAGAGTGTTAAAACAGCTCTAGTAGTAGCATCCACACTCAATCTTGATGTATTCCAATATGACATACAGACTGCGTACCTACACGCAAAACTAGATAAGGAGATATACGTAAGAGCACCTCACAGTCAATACACTAATAAAAATGAAATTTGGCTATTGAACAAGAGCTTATACGGATTAAAGCAATCTGGCAAAAGATGGTACGATTGCTTGGTAAAAGTACTTAAAACCATGGATTTCAACGCTACCACTGCTGATAACTGTTTCTTTGTCAAAAAGAGTGATGATCACGTTGAGTTTGTATTGATCTACGTAGATGATATTTTATATATAGGAAAACACAGAGAGAGAAGAGAAATCTTTGTAAACAAGTTAAATGAACATTTCTCGTTGAAATCTCTAGGTAAAATAAACAAATACCTTGGTGTACAAATTAACAAAACTAGAAAGGGTTTCAAACTTACTCAGAAAGATAAGATTATTGAACTTCTAAACAAATGTAATTTAAACAATGCCAAACCCTGTGACACTCCTATGCAAACTGATTTCCTTAGAAATACTGATGAATCTTCCCCTGAATTCAAGGATAATACATTCTATAGATCAGTAATAGGTTCACTTCTTTATATATCTAATTGGACCAGACCAGATATTGCATTACCACTCAATTTATTATCAAGGCACGTTAGTAAACCAACAATGTATCACTGGGAAGCTGTCAAAAGAATTTTAAGATATCTGAAAAGTACATTGGACTTTTGTCTAGTATTAGAGCCTAGTGATAACAAAGAACCAAGACTTACATGTTACGCAGATGCGGATTGGGCTGGAGATACATCATGCAGAAAAAGTACCTCTGGTTATATTTTTCTGTTAAATGACTGTCCAGTTTACTGGTACACTGGTAAACAAGAATTGGTAGCCACTTCAACCACAGAAGCGGAGTATGTTTGTTTATCCAAAGCTGCAAATAATCTTGTATGGTTTAATGATTTAATTTCAGATGTTTGGAAAAAACCTGCTTTGCCTTTTGTTATGCATGAAGACAATAAAGCGGCCATTGAAATATCTAGATCCGATGCCATTGGACAAAGATCCAGACATATAGATATAAAATTTAAGCATGTGAGACAATTGTCCCAAGATGGATTTATCAAAGCAGTACATTGCGATACCTCTGAACAATTGGCTGACATATTGACGAAGCCTTTACCTTCTAAACAGCACAAATACTTAACTTCCAGATTGTATGTATTATATTGTCCTGAATCTGAATGTAATTGGTGTTGTATAGCGAACCGGCATTTAGAGGGGGATTTGTCAGATGTAAATGCCTTATTCCCTAATGTGTAAATAATGTATATATGGGATATCAGGGGTTAACTTATTCTTTGTTTCTTAATGTATTCATAATTCACCACTCCTACTCTTGGCTCCACCCTTTGTATATATAAGGAGCCACCTTCGCCATTTTCCTCGCTTCTATCTGTGAATATTCAATGAATATAGAATGCCTACTATAATTAAAGAGAAATATATTTGAATCTCTAACTCTAAATATTATTATTGAGTCTGATCCTAAAAATATTGCAACAATTTTGTTACCTAATTTTAGTGCTAGAAGCTAGAAGGGAGTGAGACTTGCTCTCAGTTTATTTACAGTTAGCTTGACCTATCAATGTTGATTGGGGGTGTTTTTTCTTCTTAGTAGTGCCTTGATTAGGCTGTTTAGTTGATTTTTTGTCTGAGTTAGTAGTTCAACTCAGTTGAACCATGAGCAACATATATTTTCTATTATTGGTTCCCCTAATTTCTATGACCACACATAGTGTAAAAATTTTGAAAACTGAGATAGACACAGTAATAAATTTACCAGCTTTCTTTACATAAATATTCAGTATATTTTCAATTCAGCATACAGTACATGCTAGAAGCAAATGTAAAGCTGCAGTTTCTACTTCAATCAGAATAGAATTGGAAGAGAGCTTGGAGGTCTTCTAGTCCAACCCTCTGCTCAAGTGGGTTTGAGCATTTGAGACATGTGGCTGTCCAAGTTCTCCTTAACAATCTCCAGTGATGAAGCGCTTACAACTTCTGAAAGCAAGCTGTTCCACTTGTTAATTGTTCTCACCGTTGGAAGTTTCTCCTTAATTCCAAGTTGCTTCTCTCTTTGATTAGTTTCCATCCATGGTTTCTTATCTTGCCTTCTGGTACTTTGGAAAATAAGTTGACCCCCCCCCCCTTGTTTGTGGCAGCCCTTCAAATACTGGAATACTGCTATCATGTCACCCCTGGTCTTTCTTTTCTCTAGACTAGCCATACCTGGTTCCTGGAACTGTTCTTCGTTTATTTTAGTCTCCAGGTCTTTAATCATCTTAGTTGCTCTTCTCTACAGTTCTCCCAGAATCTCAATATCTTTTTTGTAATGTGGTGACCAAAACTGGATGCAGTGTTCCAGGTGTGGTGTTACTAAAGTTTTATAAAAAAGTAATAATACTTTAATGATTTTGATTCTATATCTCTGTTTATACAAGCAAGGATTGAGATACAATTTATTTGGGACAGACTTAATATTCCTGGAAAAAGAAGAAAAAGATGCAATGAAGAAATGATAATAAAAAGTTGAGCTTTAATTTGCATAGATGAAAGAAGGAAGGAAAAATTGGTCCCTCTTCTTCCAAACTATAGAAGATTATTGTTTTTTGGGAGGAAATCAGTTTTTTTTTTATTATTTTTTAATTTGATTTATATGCCGCCCTTCTCCGGAGACTCAGGGCGGCTTACAATGTGTTCAGCAATAGCCTTCATCCTTTTGTATATTTATACAAAGTCAGCTTATTGCCCCCACAACTGGGTCCTCAATTTACCTACCTTAGAAAGGATGGAAGGCTGAGTCAACCTTGAGCCTTGGCGAGATTCGAACCTGCAGTAATTGCAGGCAGCTGGGCTTAATAACCAGCTTAATAACAGGGTGCCTTAGACCACTGTACTACCAAGGCTCAGTGTCTTTATTTTAGAAATAAAACTTGAAAGGGAATATACAGTACGTTATATCATGGATTCTTGCACTTTTCAACATGGTTCTTTGTCCTGCGTGCACATTTGGTCAGAGATGTTTGAAGGCTTCCTGTGATTTGAAAACTGGCAGAGCTTGCACTTTGCTTTGCAGGGATTTTCCCCAAGTATACTAAACTGTGCTAGCAATTCATGTTTCCAAATTCTTGTCTTCCAAAGACTCTTGTTTCCAAGGAATCAAAAATTACAACGCAAAAGGATTTCATCATCAGTAATTAAATTATTGCTTGCATTTTTGAGTAGCATGAAATTTGAGATCAATAAAAAAAAATCTTCAGCAAATTAAACAAGAACCCAGGAAAACAACATTGCAGACTTTGATCAAATTGCCCAACATATTAAACATTTTCTCATCCTGTGGCCAAATATTCCATAAGAAACTCATTCCTGTCTTATAAAATACATAAATTTTACTAAAATCTGGGAAGAAGGCATTTTTTTTCTTAAACTTTTTTTTAGTGTAAAGTGGATATGATTTATTGCATTCTAGTATTTTTGTTATCATTTAGTCTTATTTTATTCAAATATGGTAGTTTTATTATATAAAATGTAATTGGAACATGTTTGTTGTACAGTTATGTCTACTTAGCTGTAAGCAGATAGCTTATTTTTTTAATCTAAGCATGCCATTTCCATAATTTATTTCATAAATATTAGATTTAAGGAGAACTGCATTAAGAATATATTGTATATTCCTTTTGTGTTTTTAGGTTGAGTAATCAAAATCTTTATGTCTTTGAGTCTGTTTGAAGCTGTATGTAATATAATTGAAAACTTCAAATTGCCATAATAGATCAAAATGGTGCTTACTTTATTTAAAGGAGTTCTGTTGGTATATAATACTGTAAGAAACTTGCATATACTGTCATAAATCCTTCTTTATGATTACATTGTAATCTGAAGGCAAACATTTTCTACTATTTTGTTATGGGCTTAATGTGTTATATAGCTTATTTCAAATAAAAAAACACATTTAAAGGTAAGTAATGAAAATCCTATATTAAATGTTTCCAAGAGATGTTCATTAAAAACAGTAATGAAAATTCTTGGAATGCAAATATATCAGTAAATAAATGTGGCTTCACCCAGGTGAGAAAAAAATGGAGTAGCTATATATGTGAAAAATTTACTGTATAATCTGGAAATCTAAAGAGAGATTTATAATACTGTATTACATTTTAATGAATTTGGGGAAATAAGAGTGCTTCAATTTATGTCCCAATAATAACAACAAAAAAGCTTAATGAAAGATTTTTTAAAAAATACATTTTGAAATGCAGAGTGAAATATTCTAATTTTTGGAGATAAGAACATACTTTTCCCCTACAAATCCGGTTTCAGTAAAATGAATTCAGTTAAATTCTTTGGAAATGTCTTAGACTACATGTAGTTATTACCTCTCTTTAGGTAATAGTGTAATAGTTTTTGATGGTAGAGATACAAACACCCTGTGGAGAAAAATATACTATTACTTTTCAGCTCTTAAAACGTGAGAAGAGATATGTCCTGGATTTCTAACTCATTGTCACATAAACATGGAAGTTTCAGGTACTAGGTATAACCAATAATTTTTCTGACATATTTTGCTTTTAATTTTTTAATTGTAAATTACCCACATTTATTGAAATAGAAAGAAAAGAAAAGAAAGAAAGAAATGTAGAAATAATAACAAGTTACAACTTATTTTCTTTTGTCTCTTTTTTCAAATGTCCCTTTCCCTGGTACGGTTGTAGAGGTGCACAGAGATAAATTTGATGAAGGAATGCAAGAACTGTTAAGACAAAGCAAACAGTAACTCAAAAACTCTTGGGAAAGGAGAAAGCATGAGAAAGAAACTCAAGATAATCCTGGCTTGAATCTGTTTGGTATCTGAAAATACAGAAGAAAATTCTGGCATGATTTCAAGATTCTTTCAAGATTTTGTCAATGTACACTATAGCAATAAAGAAACATTCTTATAATCCTCACATAGTCTAATTACTGTTTTAGCCTACCTGAAATAGCTCATAGTTGTACATATTACAGGCATTGACTTTTAAAAAACATACATGACCAATTTTCCTGTGAAAATTGATAAACTGGGCTTTTCTATTAGGGTGATATTTGGATAGTAAAAGTATGCTTTTTTAGCATTATTTCTTTCAACTTAACAACTGTAACACTGGCATATTTTATATCGTTTCTTTAGCATCTTCTTAGAAAGGTACTGATTATGGAACACATAACAATGTGATATTTAACATAATTGTTTTGCTATTTTTACATAAAAAAGAGAAAACATGCCCATATTTTATGGAGAGTTCTTAAATAAAATATATAGCTTCGGAATTACTATAGAAGTTATAATAATTTCCCTCATAAATTGAAAGGGTGAATTATGGTTTCTTTAAATCCACCCACGTTTACAAATGTGTAAAATTTTAAATGAGAATAACTATATATAACTACAATATACTACACCCACAAAAAGTGATATATTTCCATTCTCATTCTTACACAGAACTCAATTATCATAGATTCTTTTTTTTTAATTGGTTTTTATTGTGAAAATATAGAAATACAATTCTGCGTTTTTTGGTTCTGTGGTGTTAAATATAAATACATATTATTTACATATTATTTACATAGTATTGCATCTTTGCTTGTATATGGTTTGGGTATTATTACAGGTAGTAATGCACAGTTCTTTATGATCATATATACATGTTATTTACTTGTTATTTACATAGATTTCAACCTTAGTTCAGTAATGCACATGGTAATAGTTAACTCTTTATGATCATTATTAGTTAACCTTAATACTTCTCAAATTTCACTTTTTGTTTCTTTTCTCTATCCACTCGTACCATAGCTCCCACACATTATAATATTCCGTGTTCTCTCTTTCGTTAAATTCTAATGTTAGCTTATTCATTTTGGCGCACTCTAATATTTTCCTGATTACTTGTTCTTTGGGTGGTAGTTTTTTCTCCTTCCAATACTGAGTGTAGGTTATTCTTGCCACTGTCATTATATGTATGATTAGATACTTCTTCTTTTTTTTGTATTCTGTTTTCAGGATTCCCAGGCGAAAGATTTTCGGTTCAAAATCAATATTATCTTTTATTATTTCCATAAGCCATTTCCAGATCATTTTCCAGAATTTTTTCACTTAGGGGCAGGTCCACCAGCAATGGTAGAAGGTGCCTTGGTGATGGCCACATTTCCAACAATTGGGACTCATATTGGGATATATTTTAGCTATCCTGGCTGGGGCTAGATGCCACCTGTACAGCATCTTATAATGATTTTCCTTATAAATCACCGCCCTGGTCATTTTAAGGTTGCTATTCCAAATTGTGTCCCATTAATTTAAATTTATATTTTGTCCGATATTTTTGGCCCATGCTATCATAACCACCTTAAGGTGTTCCTTAACCATCTTTTCCATCATATCGTATTCCAGCAAGTAGTTGTATAATTTCGCTAATATTTTGTTGTCTGTTCCCATCCATATCTTATCGAATTCATTAATACCTATCTCAACGCCAAACTCCTCCTTGTCCTTTTTGTACTGGGACTTTATTTGTGCATACGGCCACCAATCAATGTGGATGCCCTGTTCTTCCAGTTCTTCATTTGTTTTAAGGTTCCCTCACCCATCTAATATCTCTTTATATTTGACCATTTTCCCCATTTCCAATAAGTTAGGATATATCATGGCCTCCATTGTAGAGAGCCATCTCGGGACTTTTGTATATTGTTTCTGTCTTATTTCACCCCATGTCTGTATTAGTGTATCCCTTATTTTATGACTATGAAAATATGTCCTTGCTCTTTTCCCTATGTCCCAGAGAAAGGCATGCCAGCCCCTCTGTAGATCATGCCCTTCCAAGGTCAGGAGTCTTTTATTTTCCAGAGTTGCCCACTCCTTCAACCAGACCAAATTCACGCCTTCACTTGCAGTCACCACTTGCTTCTTTCTGTGGATCCTTTTCGTCCGACCCAGCCGATCTGATTTTACTGATTTCAATCACAACGTGTTCGAGGAGAGTAGGTACGAGCGCTTTTCCAACACCAACTTCACCGAAATGCCTTGCTTCCCATCTTTGTTGGCTATCACAGCTTCCACCATTAAGAGGCAGACGCGCCACGTTGATTTGACAGCGGCAATCAGTTCAGCAGAGAGTGCTTGCTTCTCACCACTCTGCTTGCCGAAATCCCGCTATTATCCACGAAGCTCTCCAAGCTTCCACACCTTGAAGGGTCCCCAAAACGCGGCGTAAAAGTGGCGTTGTGGAGCAGCGATCGCTCTCACAGCACTATGCCGCCACGGGTCGCCAACTGGAAGTCTATCATAGATTCTTATTCACCTATATTCACCTATATTCTTATTTACGCATTTTAATTATCTGTCCAATATACCTACTAAGTTATTAATAGAAATGTTGATTCAGACATGTAGTAAGAAAGCTTCCAAGCAAAATAATGGAGAAAAGGCAAAATTTTCTAATCTGTTACTTATAAATTCAAAAATTAACCTAAAATTCTAGGAAAACAAATCTTTATTGAAAACAATACACAATATATCTATATTTGTGAATGTGAATTTCCTTTTTTAAAATTAAGAATTTCATGAATGAGTAGCAGCCAAAGCCTGAAATTGCACTGAAAGTGCTTTAGAAAAACTGGAGAGAAAGATTTTCCAGAATATTTAGAAACTTATTAAAGCTTTAGTTGCTATTTGAGGGAAGTTATCATGTTAAATCTGGGTTTTTTGTATAAAAGCATTATTATTGATTAACATTGTCAAGCAAATATCTGCAATTCATATTTAGAAAAGTCTGTTGCTATATCGGTGCAGTTATCAATGGAAAATTCATTCAATGCATAAATCTACAACAGTTCACAAAACATGGTGTAACTTTGTGTGGCAAACAATCAAATGAATTGGGAATGTCTACAAAAATATTTAAAACAAAAACAAAGTAGATAATATAAGATGTACAGTACTCCTCTGCTTTTTTGACTAAGTTAATGATGGGTCAATCCAGATATGTATCACCAAGGAGTATAACTTTACACCAGCTCTTAGGTTAGCAAATGTTCTTCCCACACAGGGAAAAGCTCATAACAACTATATAGTTACTATAAATTTATTATTGCTGTGATTAGAAATTATATCAAAATTCTATTCTATTCAAGTAAAAACATAAGTTTCTTCCAGAATTCTTTTCCTTTTGAACCCACCAATTTTCACAATAGAGAAAATGTGTTTATTTGCAAGTTAACTTTCATTGAAGTTCGTTCCCAGGTCATAAAGGACATACTTTGTGGTATTAAAATTTTATTTATTTGTTCCTATTTCTATACCGCCCTTCTCCAAATAGGATTCAGGGCGGTGAACAGCCAAAGTAAAAAACAGTACATACAAAATTTAAAAGCAGTTTAAAATAATTAAATATTTTGGCTGTAAATTAAAACAACCAAATTTAAAATCAATTTAAAATTTAACTCAAGAATAGTCATTTAAAATTTAACTCAAGAATAGTCATTCTTCTGCTGTATAAAATATGATTCACCCATTTCCTTGTCATGGGCAAATATCCAGTATGTGTTAACAGTGATCAGAAAACTTTCTGGTTCATGTGGGAAATAGCATAGAAAAAATTCTGATAGGAAATGGTTATCATGGATGGTGGTGAGGAAATAATAAATTTATTCTATTTCTTTTTCTTGCCTGTGCAGTCCCACCCAGCCAAAAACAACTGAAGGACAACAGGGAAATTGCAGTTTGCATTTATAACAGTTACCTTTATTCATTAATCATCAGCTGTATGCTTGAGATATTCTGGAAAGCCCCTTTTATAAAAGATTCAAATACAAGTTCCATTGCTTTCAACATTTGACACGCAGAAAAAAATGGGAAATTCTCATGTAAAGTTCCTGATACTATAGTTTTAGTGTTCCTCTTTGGATTGATTCTATCATAGTGTACATGATTTCTTCATATTGCATCATTTAAAGCCCTTTGCAAAAAGCAAGAGCCAAAATTGTTCAGGGATGAGACAAGTTGTTATGAAATCCAAGAAAATTTCAGAAAGCATTTCAGAAGTAAGTATGTTCCCAGTCTAAAGGTGTGTCTATGGCAATTCAATCATTTTATGTTATTTTATAAATATATACTAATATATGAATATTTAATATATTATTATTATTGCTACTTTTATTATTGTTACATTATTATTATATACACAACAGTGTATATACACAACAATATAAAATCAGAGTTTCAGTTTTTTAGCTAGATTTGACTTTCACATGTACTGAATTCTTCCCAAGTATCTAAGATGTCATAATGTTTCAGTGTAGCATATGTGCAGATCCAAGCAGGATAGTCTTTTGTAATTGATAGAAATTTTGACAATATGCAGATTTTCTAAGATTTTTGACATGGCACCTAGTGTGCAAACACTGAGACAATCCTGGCCAGTTTATGCCATAATCTTTCAATCTTTCAATAAACAATAAAAAAGCAAATAAAATACGGATTGAATTGAATTAACAAAATTATTATTAAATAATAATTTTTTAATGTACTGTGATTAAATATAATTGTTATTGTTTTTTGGAATTTTTAAATGAATCAGGATTTTTCCTCTGTTTTAATATGTATTTTATAATAAGAATTTTAAACTTCCTGGTGAACGTGATCATTTTTGTAATTGAATGGTTTATTGTGTGGATTTATTTTCATAGAAGAGAGAACTATTCCAACTATGTGGTTATTCATGTCCAAATTGTTCCAAAAAAACATTGCCTACATGAAATTGACATCTATGCTTTGCCAAACTTGTTTTGCCCCTCAGGTATGCTCCTAAACATAACCCTGTTTTTTTTTTTAAAAAAATGGGCAATGTTCATTTATGCTTGCTGAAGATACGTCTCTTCTTCCTATATATAATTTCTGATGCTAGCTGATGGTAAAATAATTTGCATGCACTGCCTTGAAATCTAATGCCCATAAGACATGGGAAGGAAGCAAATATGTGGCCCCAAGTTGGTAGTAGTGGGAACCTAGTTTTCCCATTCTCATAGAACAAGTGTGATAAAGCCATGCAGAGAAGATGAACAACATCATTTTTACTATGATGCACACATGATAATTAGTGACCCATGGTGACCCACAGTGGCGCAGTGGTTCGACTGCAGTACTGCAGGCTACTTCTGCTGCCTGCAATTTGGCAGTTCAAATCTCACCAGGCTCAAGGTTGACTCAGCCTTCCATCTTTCTAAGGTTGGTAAAATGAGGACCCAAATTGTTGGAGGCAATATGCTGATTCTGTAAACTGCTTAGAGGGGACTGTAAAGCGGTATATAAGTCTAAGTGCTATTGCTATAAATATACCTGCAATGTGCTTGAACTCTAATATCTTCTATTCAATAAAATGGGATGGAGCAAAATGCCTTGTATCTGAGAATTTGATCTCTTGTGAAATTAATCATCATGGATGTGTTCCATATTCGTCGTGTGGCTGTGGCTGGTATATAATATAGAACAAGTGAAATATTTAAATGAATCTTACACACTGCAAATGCTAAAATATTTTGTTGAGGATAACAGAAATGCATGATTTTGGTCTGGACCTAGCATAGTTGTAAAAAACAGTGTTTATCCAGAAAAATGGTATTTAATTACTTTTTAACCAGTATATGAATCTAATTTGCTTCTTTGTTAGGGTTCGGACAATTTTTAAAGCTGCATTTGATTTAAAACAGAAACAGATTTTGTTTCTGTGCTTTGGAAGTAGAACAAAGGAGAAGTATAAAGTGTGTAAAAGTCACAATAACTCATTATTGTAAAGCTAAACAATAATATAGTGCTACCTTGAAATGTGGCCAAGGAACAATTTCTCTGTGAAATAATTTTTCACTGAGGGAAGTAACAATAAAAAAGTATTATGTAACATTCCCTATTATGGTCACTATTTTGTAATGCGCTACCATCAGCACACCAATTTTACATATTGGATCATGTCTGATGTACAATACTGCATAGAATATGTAAAGTGAGGTTAATCTTACTAATAGTGTAATCTTATGCATATCTATTCAAAAATAAGTGCTTCCAGTACCAATAGCATTGTATTCCCAAGTAGATATAAAACTGCAATCTTCAAGTTTCCATTCTATAAGAAGGACAAGAGCCCTTCAATATCAGCATACATCAGATTGCATATAAGCGAAGTTGTCCAGTTAATGCTTGAAAGTTGGAGTTTCCAATGACTCATATTAAGTACTAACACCTTGACTGAACCTTTTAAAAAACCATTTAAATTTCCTCTAGCTAGAATTTAAGTTGGCTTTTTTTTTTTTGAAAAAAGTTTTTATTATTTTTGAAACATAAACATAAAACACATCTTTTCAAAATGAAGCTTTTGATCCGGTCACAGATTAATACAAATCACCAACAAATCTTAATTTTCAATTAACACAACTTAATATTTTACTCAGTTATTTCCCTCAAATCTATCTATTTAACTATGCCATTATCCCCAAAATCCCGTTATTTAAATCTTAAATCCTAACCAAATATCATTCAATTTTTCTCTTTCTTTTGCTTAGATGGATATATTTTAAAAATATAAATGATTACAATTCCTAACATTCATACAAAACATTCATAAAATATTTAATTCCAACATAATCGTTTTATTTTTACTATTGAACTCAACATTTATCATCATTATTTCTGTTATTAAATCTAGTTTATTCATTTCATTTTTACCGTTAATCTCAACATAGTCCTCCTTATTTTGGCTATCCCACCTCATTTTATTTTTGTTATAAAACCCAGCATCTTTATCTTTATCTTTGTTGTTAAACCAATCATTTTTATTTCTTGGCTATTAAACACAGCATAACCATTTATGTTTTTGGCTATTAAAAACAGTATACTCATTTTTGCTTTTTGGCCGTTACACAGCATAACCATTTTTGTTTGGCTGTTAAACACACATAGTCATTTTTGTTTTTTGGCTGTTACACAGCATATTTTTTTTTTTGGCTGTTGAACACAGCATAACCATTTTTTATTTTTTGGCTGTTAAACACAGCATAGTCATAGTTGGTTTAACTATTAATCCCTACTTAGTCCTTTCTTTGTTATTTCCATCCATCTATACATTGCTTATTTTCAGTTAATCATATTTATCCTTATCCTTTTTCATGACAATTTAACATTGAGACATGATTCCTGCTTGAGACATACCTTTAAATATATTTATAAATTCATTTTAACATTCTTAATTAATCATATTTATCTTATCCTTTGTTATTTCCATCCAACTATACATTGCTTATTTCCAGTTAATCATATTTATCTTCATCTTTTTCATAACAATTTAATATTGAGACATGGTTCTTACTTAAAACATATCTTTAAATATATTTATAATTTTTCTTTTAACAAGTTTAACTTCTTATAGAAATCTCTTATCCACCTATACATTATTTTATTTTTGATCACATTGTTGTTGTTTTCTTAATTTGATTTATATGCCACCCTTCTCCGGAGACTCAGGGCGGCTTACAGTGCCTTAAGCAATAGTTTTAATCTTCTTTTCCCTTTTTCCAGTCGTGTTTGTCTTGTTTCTTTGTTTCCTCTCCTGCTGACAATATTTCCTTTCGTTTTCAAAATCTTCAAATTTGTCCTCCATATATCATATTAAATCTTTTTCTTATTTTTATTCTGGATAAAATGCATCAAGTCCCCTTCTCTTGAGCCTGCGCTTGAGCCTTCTTTTATTCCTGTGCCAGTTTTTAAAATTATTATTGTTTCAATTGTAGGAGTTCCATTATAATTTCCTTTTCTTTTCACCAAAGTCAAGCTGCTTGTAGACATGAAGAAAAAAACCTGCTCCGCAAAGTCCCATGACTTATCTGTAATGTTCCAAATTTTCCATAACAAAAACAAGTTACAATGTTCCTTTTTGAGCCAGAAGGTGTCCCTCTACAATCCACATTTTCCATTAGTCATGCCAGAATCCATTTTGTTTCAATTATATAACAGTCCAATTTATACTTTCCCCCCTTGCTTTTAGAAATATCAAATCTTATTGCTCTTACTTACAGGAATCTACTCAAAGGTTAGCACTGTTTTGTCTAGTTCAGGGTTAATGGAATTCAAGGGGAATTGGATTTAGTCCATTAATATATATCCTTTTAATTGTTTTTTAATGTTTGTATTGTATGTTTTTATCGGGCTGTACACCGCCCTGAGTCTTTCGAGAGAAGGTACGGTATATAAATTTGAAATAAAATAAAAAAAAAAATAAAAAATAAAATTTGTGGTTATGTTAAGATTCTAGCCCAATTTCCCTTTTGACTCCACCTTCAGTTTCAGCCACTTCTTTTCCTACATGGTTGAAACATTAATGAAATGAGAAAGTACTTGATACTAAAGTGAACTAAAGGCATATGTTAGCTATGATTAATTTAATTAATAGAAAATAAGAGCATTCAAAACACAGCAAATCATAAATAAACTACTAGTCCCAAAATGCCTTTTAATAAATAATTAAAATTATCTTTCTGGAGAAACAGTCACATATGCATATAAAGCAGTGGTGAAATCCAATTTTTTTTACTACCGGTTCTGTGGGTGTGGCTTGGTGGGTGTGCTGTGGCTTGGTGGGCGTGGCTTGGTGGGTGTGGCAGGGGAAGGATACTGCAAAATCTCCATTCCCACCCCACTTCTGGGGGAAGGATATTGCAAAATCTCCATTCCCACCCACTATGGAGCCAGCCAGTGGTGATATTTCCCAGTTCTTGAAACAACTCAAATTTTCAGCTACCGGTTCTCCGAACTGCTCAAAATTTCTGCTACCGGTTCACCAGAACCTGTCAGAACCTGCTGGATTTCACCCCTGATATACAGGTAAATAAATAGCAGCTTAATAGATTTGAACCATATTGTAAAATATTATTTTAGTAAGTTGTAAAAATGGTTTTAGGATTTTTAAAAATTATCTTGGATACTTTTATCAGAAAAGATGCATATTTCCTTTCCCTTAATTCTTTGTAATATTGTAAGTGTTCAATGTAATTTTAAATATTGCAATACTTATATACAATGTTTGTACATAAATATTATAAATATTTTGGATATCCGTAGCACTTGTTTCAAAATATAGATAATATAGGTTTAGTTGGTAAATGAAAAATTGAAAAAAATGACACACACACACACACACACACACATGTTTTAAATCAAAATATGTTGCTGTCTGAAAGTAAATCAATTCAACAATTCAGTTTCCAAGTACCCAATCAGATTAACATTCAATATATTAGCCTAATAATAGCTTCTAACTTTCTATGATAGAAAAAATAAAATTAAAATATTTTAATACAGAATATATCATATTCTACCATAACAAACTTCAGATATTAAACATTTTCAATGTCATATTTTACGGAAATAGAAAGACCAAGGGAAGAAACTTCAGGGAGAACCTAATTTACATTGGAACAATTAGCTGCAAATCTAGACTGGTATCTATTTTTATTTTACTTTAGGTCAATGTAAATAGATATATTTTCAACTAAATCATTTTGTTTTTGCAGTGTATATTTACAAAGAACTTAACAGATACACCACTGCAACAAAAAATTATATCATTAGAAAAGCAGAAGCAGGAGGTAAGTTGAAGCAATCTTTGTTGCACTTTGAACCTAAGTCATTAAGATTCTCCAAAACACAGTTTCTATACTATTTTATGGGTTTGTCTGCATGGAAGGAGAACTACACATGAAGAACAAGAATAAAACTGCATGGCAGATTTCATGATGATTCATTCCAACTATAAAGGCTTACTTGTGGTTTGCCAGAAAAGCAAGCCAAGCAGATCACTGATCTAACAGTGCATTTCTGGACGCCAATGAGGGTAATATGCAATCCAACAGTTAAATTTAGAATTCCTTTCAGAATCACCAAATTGTTTATACAATAGTTGCCAGATCTTGGGTGACTTCAGGTTACATTTTTCTACAAATGAGATGCTGAAGGGGCAATCAAATAATTCCTACAAAAAGGAAAATGAAAGAAATTTAAATAGTCCTATATAGATATATACAGATCTCTCTAAAATCCTGATGGGAAAAAGGGTACATGAATAAGAAATGGAATATGTAGACAAAGAAGAATGGTCTCCAGAAACTTTAGGAATTTAGCCTGCGTGTGAAGCTAAAGCACAGATTAAATGGGGGTTTGCAAGAGATAACTAAATTTTTTTTCCCAGATAAATAGAGGGAGAACCCCCCCCCAAAAAAAACCAGTGATAGTGTTGGTCCATTGCAAGGAGAAAGTGATGAATTGATAATACAGAAGAATGAGATAGCAGAACTTCTTAACACCTACTATACTTGGTACCTGTCTTTTAGGAAACTGCTCAGTCAAGCTTTCCCCAGGTATTTTGAGCTGCAACTCCCAGAATTCTCACTGGGAACTCTGCAGGTTGTAGAATAGGACAGCCAATTTGCTATAACGATTAAGATGCTGGCGCAGTAGTGGGTTCCACTTATCTTTGCTACTGGTTCGGAATTGGGAGTGCACTCATACGTGTGTTCGCTTCACTCACGCGTGGCGCTTCTGCGCATGCGTAGAGCGTCCGTGATGATGTCTGGGTGTGTGGGCGGAACCTCCTGCCGCCGACACTACTGATTTGCCTGAACTGGGGCGAACCGGTAGAAAACCACCACTGTGCTGGCCTAAAAACTAGGAGACTGTTTTAGGCATGAAATCCAGCTGGATGACATTGTCTAATCACTCTCTTTCAGCCCAACTGACAGAGTTGTAGGAAAAACAAGATGAAGGAGTATTAGGTATATTCAGCCCTTGAGTTACTTATAAAATAATAAAAGTCGGGATTAAAATCTCAGAAATAATTAAACATATCTGCAGACTGTCAGATTAGGAAGTATGATCTAAGTAACTAAGTATATAAACTTATACTTCTCATTATTCACAGTTTTATGATTTGATAAACTCACAGTTATGTGACATTTTTTCCCATCTAATTTTAGTGGCACAAACTTTTACATTTTTTGCATGTAAGAAGTTATAGTTATATTTAACTTTGTCCTATGCATGGACTATTTCAAGCATGTGGCTAAAAATTAGATCTGAGCATAATATTACCACATTCTGTGTAACTGAAACACATTATATATGCAGCAAATACATATAATAATTAAAGCTGCTTGTTTGAAATGCCTGTTGTATAATAAGCATTCAGACATATTTTTGTAACATTTCCCCTTTTAAACACAAGTTTATTGTATTAAGTTTCAGATCAAAATTATTTTTTAAAAGTCACTAATAGAGACATTTTGCATGCATTTCTTCAAATATGTTTTATTTGCGTGCATTTTCTCTGATAGAGATAGAAAAATAAATAATAATTATGTTTCAATGTGCACCTTATTCAGGAACTGTGAATTACTGGAGGTTGATTTGTATTAAATATGCAACAAAGTCTTTTGCCTGTGAGACTAGCTCTGCATATTAAAATACACGGAGTAATTATAACATGACACCAAGGACCTGGAGAGAAGCTAATGCTATATTGTTAAATAACTTTCAGAAATGTAAAGGATCCTGCACATCTTGGAAATTCCCACAGGCAGTTTGAGTTGAGAATTTAGTGCAGTAAATTTTACTACAGTATAATATTGACTCATCTGCCACTCCCAAACTATTTTTTGCCTGGCACTTATATTCATTCATATTCATTCATTTCTGAATTACAGACTAAATATTCTTAAGAATACAATGTATTCAGTGTAAACAGTTATGAATTGTACAGGTTGTCCTTGATTTAAAAGAGTTCATTTAGTGACTGTTCAAAGTTACAGTGGCACTGAAAAAAGTGACTTGCAGCATCCCCATAGTTATGTGATCAAAATTCAGACGCTTGGCAATTGACTCATATTTATGATGATACAGTGTCCTAAATGTAAAATTTCAGTATTGCCTACACTACTGCTATATACATACATACATACATACATACATACATACATACACACACACACACACACACACATACATACACATATACATATACGTTTTATCGAAGAATTTTATGCCAATGATATTTGAAAAACTTCTTTGTATTTAATATAATAATTTAGAGGAATGTAAAACCCACAATAGCATAGCAGTTTAAAGATTATATGGTAAAATAGTGTAACATTATTTAAAAATAATGTGAAAATATTGTATTAAGCATTGCTTAACCGTTTCAGCTTTTGTCAGTGAACAATCAATGGGATCAACATTCCAGGCAGATGAAACAGCATTATGAAAAAAAGGTAAAACAAATAACAATTTTGTTTTCACTGTTGTTTCAAAGTATGATCTATTTTCTACAATGTATAGTTATTTTTCTTTAACTTTAATAGCAATAGCACTTAGATTTATATACCACTTCACAGTGCTTTATAGTCCTCTCTAAGTGGTTTACAGAGTCAGCACATTGCCCCTACAATCTAAAACAGTGTAATACCAAGCAGAAAAGAGAAAATAGTATTGTAGAACACATAAAGGCATAAGACTATAATCCTTAAAACTAAATGAAAATTGCCAGCTATTATTTTGCTATAAAATATGCATAAAAATCATTGGTTGGGAATATTCATAATTAATACGGACAATGGGTAAGCACAGGTCTTGGATTGGGATCACAGAGACTCAGATGCAGGCTCCCATTGTCCTTGGAGCTCATGGAGTGATTTTAGGTCAATCATATAATCTCTCAGACCTCCTGACTTTATCTAATGTTTTCAAGAGAAACCTGACATTTCTGCAACATTTAACCTTTATGAAAAATAGAAATAAACATAACAGTATATAACAGTAACAACAATAATATTGTCTTTTAAATTTCCTTTATTAGCAACAGAAAAAGTATACTTCCATTTCATCAGCCTATTGTAATTTCCTATATTCCAATCTTAGGTTACTATACGTAAGTGCTCACCTTCTTTGAAACATGAAGGACTGGGAAATAATAACAAAACATTACAGCAACTAGGGACTTTTGCACTATTTCTGTCACAAGCATCAATTTTCCTCCCATAGCATCCTAGATAATATAACTTCAGGCACCGTGGGAGGAAAAAATATGGCATCTCTGCTATTGTCAAGAAAATAGCAAACAAACAAACAAAAATGAGCTGACAATGTAGCAATTGCTGAATATCTTTCAAATGGTGCCATGAGCAGTGCTCAAATGAGGTCGTAGTGAAGAGATACTCCACAAAGCCATGTGTTTCATTTCTAACCTTATATTAGAAATTTTAGTAAAGGGCCAAAAAATGGAAATTGATATTCGAGTAATTTAATAACTCCAATGTTAGCAACCTAAACAAATTTTCCATGTAATTTGTATATGACTTCTTAATAATCTTCATACATTTAACATTAGGGTATAATTTATACTGTAAACATTCAAGGATTGAAGTAAGGAGGCAGTTTGTGGAGTTTTGTGACTGAAACTAAGTTATTTTGTCAATTGTACATAAGCTTGTCTCTGTGATAAGAGTTGATTATTATATCATGGTCTAGCTTCCTAGATCTTGACTAAAATACATTTTATTGTCAGTGGTTTCCTTTATGTTTTTGAGCAGACTGTTGTGTTTTTCCAATTGTTGCTTCTTGATGGAACATCTTAGAATAAAAGACTCATTTCTACAATCACCTTGTAGGGAAGATGGGTGGCACAAAAAGCAAGCAAGCAAACAAACAAACAAATGGGTGCATGTGTGTATGTGTATATGTGTATATATATATAACTATCTTACAGCATAGTTTTGTATTGTTGCAGATCACGCAAATGAAAGCAAAACTGGAAACTATGCAGAAGATTGTTAGGGATCTTGAACGAGAAAGATATCAAACACAGGAAGAGTGCAAAAGACTGGGAGATTTCATGAGGAGCCGATTAATGCAGGAAATGGTAGGAGAACTGGGTGTGCTAATGTTTTATTAGGTCTGGTTTCTACTGTTCATTGTTAAAGTATTTAACAATGCACAATTTGTATTTGTGCATCTTGCTTAGTTGAAAAGTGACTGAAATAGCAAGGAGTTACCTTTCACTTGGTAACTATTGACAAAAGAAAACAAGATTTACCTTTATTGAGCTGTCATTCAGAAATATCTTCACAGTCATTCACTGGTCTCTTTAATTCAAGAAACCTGGTTTACTTTACTTTCTTTCTCATAAAATAGTTTTCATAATAATAATGTAATAAAGTAATATAGGACCAACCAGATAAAGTTTTTATAGGCCTAGAACACAGTTGTCCAGCCCTTTAATGGAGTCCCCTTGTACAGTTTCATTAAACTTTTTTTTTTAAAGGGAGAGTTTAAAAAAATCTGCATGTTAAAATTTGTTTAGATCAGTATTTCTCAACATTGGCAGCTTTAAGATCTGTTGACTCTAATTCACAGAATTTACCACTCAAGAATTTTGAAGATTGAAGTCCACATAGTCTAACGTTAGGTGTCAAACTGGTGGCCTATGGGCTGGATGCATCACCCACAGGCCACACCCACCCAGCTCTGTGAATGGGGAAAATGTCACGAAATGTCACATGATGGCAATGTGACGCAGCGAATTTGACACCTATGATGTAAAGTAAAGAAACAAAAATATGCTGTATTTCTGTGGTCTAGGGGAGAATTAATCTTTATAATATCATCAACTTACATAAAGAATTAGCTCTTTTAGATCCTATTTATTTTTTATTTATAAAATTATCAACTGCTCAAGTCTATCAGATTATAAATACGGTAATATACTGACAATTGACCTTATAAAATATAGTAACAACAGAATCAATCAATTGGTCCCTTGATTTTATTGTTTTGCCCATCTGTCATAACGAATATGATCAAAGCTATACAAAAGTGGCCAAACCTTAATGAAATACATTAAAATTACAAAAACCACTGAAAATATTAACATGTGTTATTACAGAAAATAAAATATTAGAAACTTTTTATAAAGTATTTTCTCTTTTTAACTGCAGTCAGTAAAAATTGTGCTAATATCTAATCAGTGTCTCCTTGTTTAAATTCATTTGTTACTCAGTTTTATTTGAATCAGGCCAAAATGATTTTTTTACAAAGAGGGGTTCTAGAAATTTTACACACTGTGAAGTACAAATAGGACAGTAATGGGTAAAATCTTCTATAATTTCCTTGGAGCAAGGGCAGAGCATGCTGTATATTAGATGGGATTTTGAGAAATCTGAGAAAATGTCATTTTCAGGAACCGTGGTCTTGTAAAAGCCGCTTTCACAGGGATTGCACAGTAACACAGCTCAGATAATGTTTGCATTCAATTTTGTTTTTATTAAGTGCATGCCAAGGAGCAATTTTATTTTGTGATCATTTAAGCAAATTTCTTTGGACAAAGACATTTAGCACTCTGTTTTCAAATAATAGATTATTATTTTGATTATTTAAATTTAAAAAGAATTCTGGAGAAAAACCAAAGACATGCAGAAAACCATTTGCTCTTGAAAGCTTCAGTTTGATGTTTCTTTAGAGATTATAGTCCACAAGAGGGTAAATATAATAAAATATACCGTAAAACTCATATAAATCCTGACTGTTTCATCTTCAATATCCCCACTATCATAATAGTAATGAATTATTATGCTTCTGGGGAAATTTGTATTTACTATGAATCTGCTTGTATCACATGGGTATGACTCTTAGGTAGAGAAAATTTCAGGCTATTCGTCTGCTGAATTCTTAAAGATAAGAGACGGCCTGGTAACAACAGCACATAACTGGTGCATGGTATCCTATTGCAGCGACTCGGGAGGTTGGGGATAGGAGGCACTGTTCTGCAGTGGTTCTCCTCCTATCTCTTGGGCCGCTTGCAGTTTGTATCGGCAGGGGGTAAGAGATTCTCCCAGAGGCCCCTCACTTGTGGGGTGCCTCAGGGATCGGTTCCCTCCCCCCTGCTCTTTAATATCTATATGAAGCCACTGGGTGAGATCATTCGTGGTTTTGGGGTGAGGTATTACCAATTTGCGGATGATACCCAGCTTTATATCTCCACCCCAGATCACCCTAGGGATGCCCTTTCCGTGATGTCCCGTTGCCTGGAGGTGGTGCGGGCTTGATTGGGTGGGAACAGACTTAGACTCAATCCATCCAAGACTGAGTGGCTGTGGATGCTGGCATCTCGGGATCTAGAGGTACCATCTTTAGTGATAGGAGGGGAGACTCTTACCCTCTCCACTAGGATTCGCAATCTGGGTGTCCTCCTGGATTCTCGGCTGTCCATGGATGACCATCTGACGGCCGTAACCAGGGAGCCTTCACACAAGTACGTCTTGTGTGCCAGTTGTGCCATTTCCTAGACCGAGATGCCGTCGCCACGGTCACCCATGCCCTTGTTACTTCTCGGTTGGATTACTGCAACGCTCTCTACATGGGGCTGTCCTTGGAATGCATCCAGAAGCTCCAGCTGGTCCAGTATGCGGCCACACGGGTAGTTACGGGAGTTCCTTGTTACTCCCATGCAACACCTCTCCTGCGTGAGCTGCACTGGCTGCTGGTTGCTCTCCGGGTCTGTTTCAAGGTGCTGGTACTTACCTATAAAGTCCTACATGGCTTAGGCCCGGGGTACTTGCAGGACCATCTTCTGCCTTCCTCCCACTGTCCCGTGCGCTCCCACAGAGCAGGCCTCCTCAGGGTGCCGTCGGCTAAACAATGTCAACTGGCGGTCCCCAGGGGGAGAGCATTCTCTGTCGGAGCGCCGACCCTCTAGAATGATTTGCCCACCGAGCTCAGGATAGCCCCGGATCTCCTTTCCTTTCGCCGCGAACTGAAGACGTGGCTCTTCCGTCAAATAAATTGATCTGCTAGGGGTTGCACAAACTGTAATAATTTTAAATATGGTTTTTAAGGGTTTTTAAACTTATTTTGTCATTTTGTGATTTGTATTATTGATTGTTGTTGTAAGCCGCCCTGAGTCCTTCAGGAGAATGGCAGCATATAAATCGCAAAAATAAATAAATAAATAAAATAAATAACAAATGCATCTAGTTATCCAGATAAAAAGCTCAGGAGATGATAAATCTTATTCCACAGATCATTGAGAATATTAGATAGTGAAATGTAATAGCAACAACAGATAGTGTAATCTCAAAAAACAATTTCCTATTTTTCATGTTCTGAAAAATTATTAAACAATATTATTTTACACCAGACGTTTGGCTTCTCAAAGAGCAAAATTACTTACTATTACGGCATCTGGAACACAGTGGAAATTAGTTCCAGTTTCAATAAAGTGGATTTTGAAACAATTGAAAATATTTTTTCTTGCTCTTCTGCCAAAAACACACTTAAAGAAGTTTTATGTACAACAACAAAACATGCAATCCATTCTCGATTGCCTAAATAGGATTTCAGCAGAGCTGGCAAACTGGTTCTAAGTCTACTAAGTAATGTTTATTGAAGAAATAAGTGAACACCATTCTTTATGCATTTTAGGAAGAGACTATTAACACATGGTCTTCTTGGCCTACCAAACAACTACACAGTTTTATCTTTCTGTGGGCTGGTCTGACTCCATCTGTCATTTGTTTTTGTAGTGGTCAAATTTATCATTTGTCTTGTTTTTGTACTGATTGTAAGAATCTCCAATGTCATATTTCTTTACAAGAAATCCTTTGAGTTCCAAATTGATAATTTAGGCTAGTGTTTCTCAGCCTTGCTGACTTTAAGATATGGGGACTTCAACTAGTGGGTTGCTACCGGTTTGCCCCAGATTGGGCGAACTGGTAGCAGCAGCGACGGGAGGCTCTGCCTACCCGCCCGGACGTCTCTGCGCATGTGAGCGAATCAGTAGCGATGGGATTTGAATCCCACTACTGACTTCAACGCATATTGATGGGATGGAGAATTCTGGGAGTTGAAGTCCACAAATCCTAAAATTGGCAAAAATTGAGGAACACTACTTTAGACCTTCTTAGGAAAAAAATGTAAATACATGATCCAAACGCACCCCAAAAATATAAGATTGTCCAGAAAGAGTCCTGAGGTAGAGATAGAGAGCAGCCTTATCAGATGGCTTCTAATGAATTTCTCTATCTCTATGCCCAAGATAGTAACCATTTTGCAAGGTTGGCTTAAGTAACTCCTTAAAATTTGAGATGGGGAAAAAGTCCTCAAAACTGCTTGCTGTTCTGCACTAAGCCTGGCCTAATTCGTCATTCACATGTTGAATGATCCACGATACAAAATAATTGCTTCTTAACACAGATAGCTAGCAAGTCAGAGAGAAAACTAAATTCGTTTTCTTGACAAATGTCAGAAGAAATGATTTGTATGGGGGAATATTTGATAGGATAAGTTTGGAGTTGTTTTAGGCTGTTCCAGAGAAAAGGAAGACTGACTGTAAAATAATTTTCAGTCTCCTGATATCCAGGAAAGGAGATGTCATATGCATATATCAAATAAATTCATCTGGTAAAATAAACGATCACTCTAAATCATTCACATGACCAGCCGTGTTCCCATGAGGCTCAAATAGTACTATTTGTACTCTGAGATAAAAATGATGGAAAATTGGGGTAACCGTAGGACTTTTACTAATACAAAACATATTTCAAAAATACCAGTCAGGAAAATCCCTTCCTCTGAAACAATCCAGTGGATTACGCATACTCAGTGGGCATAGAAGGGCGACTGGTTACTAAATAGAAAATAGGTACGGGGTGTGGGGTGGAGAAGGTAAAGACACTATTATTTTGTACACAGTGTACATCCAACTTTTATTTATAGATCCCCTTTATTTTGCTTTTTAGTAGTCACTGTTTTGAGATTGAAGAATGATACAAGTTATATAAAAATAATAGCAAGATTGATTTCCCACAAGCTATATTTCTTCAGTTATATTGCACTGTTTATGGCATGTATGGCCTACAGAGAGCCCAAGAAGAAATAATAGAGTTTTATCACTCTTTCTGTTTCAGAGATACACTATGCATCAGTTTTATGTTGTTTTGTTTTTGAAATGTTCGGCATAAAATGTATATAATAATCTGTTAGGGAAAGGGGACAGCTTCAATTATCTGTAGTTTATCAATGTATTTATATATTTTTCATTCCAGAAAGACAAGAACACACTGAGGAAAGAGAACAGGTTTTTGAAACAGGAAACTACCCGTTCAAGCACAAAGAATATGTTTTATGAATGTGAAATAAATCGACTAAACAAGGTAGGATTCTTCTTGTTTTAGTATTCATATATCTATGTTAAAAAATCATACTCATATATCTTTCTTATACACTTGGTAATATTACATTGTGGATTATGTGGATTATCATGCCTACACACAGATTAATCATGCCATTCTCATTCATGGCAAGAAAAAGAATAAAAAAATATAAAGGTATAAACTAAAGGAAATATAATTAAATCTAGTGAGACCACACCAGGGGTGGGTTCTACTTACTACCGGTTCACAGCGGGGCCACGTGCGCTCACTTCACTCATGCACGTGCTCTTCTGTGCATTCGCAGAAGCGTTTTGATGACGTCAGGGTCGGTGAGCGGAGACTCCCGCCAGTTTTACTACTGGTTCTATAGAACCGGTGCGAACTGAGGGCAACCCACCACTGGACCGCACCTCCTGTACTTTTCTCCTGCCAGCCTCCCTGGTAAACCAGACAGATAGGGAATACAACTAGATGAGCTAATTTTCTACCTTTTTGAAAGGTAGAAATTAACAGAATCTTGCAACTTTGAAGGAACAAACTTCCGATGCCAGTTTTGAATAATTAGATGGGGTCCTTCCTCTGACAGTTGAGATTGGGAGCTCCTCCTTCTCTTATCTGATTATTTTCCAGGCAGCATTTCTTCCCTTGTTCCTCAAGATCATTTCCACAAACCATTACATCCAACTCATTATGCTCCAATGAACCAGGAAGCCATCTCTCTGATCTGCTTCTGAATATTATTTTGTTTTTTAAGAACTTAAACACCCGTTTTGTATAGGTAATTGGTCTTGCAAATTTCATCAAGATCATCTGCTTTACTCTCTATCTACCATAGAATGCAGCAGCTATTTTAATATGTGAATCTTTGGGCATGAACAGCTGGAAGTCAATAGCTATCTGGATGTTACAGATATATAGTAAATAAATATATTTCCACCAGGAAGGCAGCAAAAACCAATGAATCAGTGGTGAAATCTAAAATTTGTTACTACCGGTTCTGTGGGCATGGTTTGGGGAGGTAATGTATCTGGGTGGGTGTGGCCAATTTTTTTTTTACTTTTAAAACCATTTTTTCTACAACTCCTTCGGCGAAGAAGTTGTAAAAAAATGCTTTCAAAAGGCTCTGATGATCCCAGCTGAGTTGCCTGATTGACAGAGGCTTTTTTCTTTTTCTATTTTTGAAAAAAAGTTTTTATTATTTTTTATAATCAAACAAATAACATTTTCACTTGTATATTTAAACATTTATAAGCCCAACCTTCCACCCCCCATTTCCACCCCCTCCCCCGACTTCCCAGAAGAAAAACAGGGTATAAGTTTTATCAAACATACGCTAAAATATGCTAAGTTAATACAAGACTATAACTCCCTAGACCCCTTAACTCCCCTTCTACAGATTATTCATCAACCTTCCTATAAACTCAAAATAACATATAATCCTTTAGGCCTAAGAGTTTTAAAAACATTAACAAACACTAATAGATCATTCAAAGCCTAAAATTCTCATAATACATCTGTAAAATATTCTTAGTTCATTTTCTTAATCATTTTACTCTCCCTCCTACTTTTATTCTCAAAATTCAAATATTTTTTCTTAAACCTTAATTAATCATTAATTGAATTCTTAATTCATTTACTTAGTCATTGTAATTAGTCATTAATACATCAATTATTAGACTAAAGAAAATTAATCTTCCCTTCTTCCTTTCTTTCTATATTTTTTCCAATCTTTCTTCCTCCCTCTTACTTTTATTTTGAGGAGGTTTTGATTTTCAACTGGAGGTTGATGTATCTTTAAAACTTGCCCCTTTCTTGGAATCATTTCCTCTGATTTGGAGCCCCATATTGACTCTTCTTGCTTATATAATCAGTCAGTTCATAGAACAAAGAGTTAACTCGATGAGTTTGGAAAAAAAAGTCCAGTTGTTGCATTTCAATTAATTGTGTGAAAGCCTCTGCCAAATCTTCCGAAACCTCATAGGGCTGATCAGTTTCTTCTTCTTTCTGCTCCAAATTATATTTTTGAAAAGTTCTGTCAGTTAATTCCACAAGGGCAGGAAGAAAGTTTGAAGATTCTTGAGAATCAGCCAAATCCAGCTTCTCTGTTTTAATCAAAATGTCTCCTTCATTGTCATTGTGCTTTCCTTCAAAAACATCTTCATTTGCTTTTATATCCTCCACCAGTTCTATAAATTTTCGTTCCATGATTGCTGTAAAGTTATTAATAATTGCTATTTGGTTATTCATGGTTTCCTTTATAAATTCTGTAAAGTCTCTGAAAAAATCCTCTTGGCTCTGTGAATCAGTTCTCTGTGTCATTTCTGACACCATTAGAGAGCTTCCACCACTTTCAAAAACTCCTTGCTTGGAAGCCATATTATTTTAAGAAAATTTTTCTTTTCAAAGCCAAAACATCTCTTAAGCAACTTTCTCAAATTTATTTGTAGTTTATCAAGCAAGATAGTCTTTTCTACACCCAGCTCTCAAATCCCAGCAGTTTAAGTCCAGTCTCTAAGCACAAATCTATTAACAAGCACTTAACTTTCACTTTCAGTCCAGCCATAATGAAGACGCCATTTCCTCCTTCAGCTCAGCAAAATCAAGTAGAAACAATGTATCCCAGGAGTTAAGCAACATACTTGCAAAGGCTTGTTCTCCTGCTTCCGTTCTGCCTGCTTTTGGACTTAATTAATCTCCTTGTTGACAGCAGAGTTGGTCGCCGGCGTCTGGCTCCGTTTAAAATGGAGTCGCCACGGATCCGGAGCTTCAGTGGGCTGAACGGGGAGCTCTCACCCTCCAGGCCCCTGGAATTGCTCCAGGGGCTCCCGGGGAGCTCTACCCTCGCCCACCGGCTCTCCTCTCCTTCTTCTCCTGAAGGAGAAGTTTTCAAGCCGTCTGACAGCTGATTAGCGCTGTCAGAACGGCTCCAACGGAATCGCGGGGCTGGCGGTCTGAAAAGAAATCTCTGAAGAGGTTGTAGAAAAAATGCTTTTAAAAGCCTTTGACGATCCCAGCTGAGCCGCGCGATCATCAGAGGCCTTTTTTTTTACTTTTAAAAGCATTTTTTGGCCGAAGAGGTTGTAGAAAAAATGCTTTTAATTTTTTTTTAAAAAAGCCTCTGATGATTGCGCGGCTCAGCTGGGCATGGGGTAGGCAGGGATTTTTGCTATCGGTTCTCCGAACCACCCGCCTCCATCACTACTGGATCGGGCAATCCGGTCCGAACCGGAAGCATTTCACCTCTGCAATGAATGTATTGTTTAAATTAAAATATGTTTCCTGCTTAACCTTACACATATTTCCTGTGGAAACCTATTTCTTAAAAAAGTGTTCTAAGGTTAAAGCTAAGAAACAGGGGTTTCTTAGCTAAGAAAATTACCAAAAAAAAAGGAAGTTGTTAGATTTGGTTCACTATAAACTTGTAAAGATGTGTAGATGGAGAAACAAAACGAGATTTTAAGAAATCAAAAAGTATAATTAAAATTGTTATTTACAATCTAAGGATATATAGATCAGGAAGCTCAAAGAACAACAAAATTGACAGCAATAGTTTAATTTGTAGAAAATAAACACCACTAGTTTGTTTTGTGATTCTGTATTTGGGAGAACAATGTTTATCTTTACATTTTTTTGTATTCAAATGTATTTGTGGATATTGCGCATGATTATAAGCCCTCAAATTTTTTTAAATCTGAATGTTGAATTTTTTATAATTAATAGTGTATTATAAACTATTATCTAAAAACTAAAATAACTTATTTTAAAATTAAGTGCAAGAACTAGACCATCTGCCACAATATGGTTTGACGGAATTTATATATTGGGCAAAGATATAATCATCAGTTGGTTGGCATGCAGATAATATTAAACAAAAAGCATACAAATGCCATTATAATTTAACATGTGAACCCAGGCAGTTACAAAGTTTTCTTAAGCAAAAAAATGTCTACATGGACTATCTCGTGTTCTCTGATAAAATAAATTGACACACAATTGAAAGTGATAAAACAAACCAGCCAGCAAAAAAAATCAGCAGGCAAAACACACCAAAGGCACAGAATATTCCAGAGCTATGGATAATAATACTATGAGTACGAAAGAATGGTATTTAGTTACTCATTTAAATATATTATGTGGCAGCAGAACAGAGATAAAATTAGTATACCCAGATGATCTATCCTCTTTTCTGCACCATAAAGGAAACAATTTAGTGGAAACGGATGACGTCTCCAACATTTGCTAAAAAAATGGGAAAATTAAATGGATAACTAAATATTTTGGTTAGATAAATGTTTGTTTACAAACAGTGGAAGTCTGTGTAATAATGGTTTCTGCAAGAATCTGAAATTGGTACTATAAAGTAAATAAGGTAACTAGTGTAGTAATAGTACAATCCCTGGTTTTCCATTCGTTTACATCCTATAAAAGTATGTAAGCTTCAGGTGTACATAATAAAGATTTCAGGCCATATTTTAGAACATAGGTCCACTGAATATAATTAGGCACTGAATTAGGAAATAGCAATAGTTTTCATTGAATATAATTTTACCTCCAAGAATATATATAGTCGGATTGTAGAGTTGAAGCAGTATACTTATTTAAAATGGGAAGAGGAAGAAATGTAGTTGCAAAAATCAAATCAAAACTATTCTTATTTTTTTAAAAATGACAATAGATAATATTTGGATAAAATAGTATCACATAAAAATGCAAATCCATTGTCATTACTATAGGACCTATAGTAAATGACAATGGATTTTCATTCTTTATGTGACACTATTTTATCCAAATATTATCTACTCTCATTTTTTTGGTTTGATTCATAGTTTTGGTTTCGTTTTTGCAACTCTATAAATTACGTAGAGTCTAGGTGATTCTAACAAATATAGAAGAAAAGTCACACCATATCTTGTATACATTAACTGTTAAAAAAAAGAGTTTATATTTGTATTTTGGATTAGTTGGAGGAAATATATACGTATCTCTTATTGTTCTTTGTTTGCCTTTTGCTTTTGGGGATTAAGTCTCTTTTGGATATCTTGAAACATCAAAATGCATCCTCCCAGAGTTCTCATGTTGAGGCATTGAATAAGAATTGCAACCAAGAAGAGATGGGAATGCAAATCGAACTTCTCTGGGAACAGGTATCAGTGGACAGAATATAACTCTTTGCAACGTTCAGTTAATTCTGAAAATTGTGGAAGCAGCAGCATCTATGGGGCTCAGAGGTTACGATGATTACAGGGTTAAAACCTGTACACACATTTAAAATAGGCAGAACTCTGATTGTGTAGCTATCCTTGGCTTTTTTCATGCATTATTGCAAATCCCTCATTGGAGACTCCTTGTTCAGAACAAATGTTCTGTCACTCTGAAATATGAAAATATTTGCTTGTTGGAATGATAAACTAAACAAACTACAGGTAGTCCTTGATTTACAGCAGTGATTTAGTGACCACAATTTAGTAATCACAATTTAGTGACCAAAATTACAATGGCACTGAAAAAAGTGGCTTATGATGTTTTTCATACTTACAACCGTTGCAGCATCCCCATGGTCACATTATCAAAATTCAGATACTTGAAACTGGCTCATATTTATGACAGTTGTAGTGTCCTGGGATTATGTGATCACCTTTTGTGACCTTCTGACAAGCAAAGTCAGTAGGGAAGCTAGATTCACTTAACAACTATGTTACTAACAGAATAACAACGTAACAGAGTTGGAAGGGACCTTGGAGATCTTCTAATCCAACCCCCTGCTCAAGCAGGAAACCTATAACTTTTCAGACAAATGGTTGTCCAATCTCTTCTGAAAAACCTCCAGTGTTGGAGCACCCACAACTTCTGGAGGCAAGTCATTCCACTGAATAATTGTTCTAACTGTCAGGATTTCCCCCACTTAATTCTAGATTAGTTCTCTCCTTGATTAGTTTCCATTCATTGCTTCTTTTCCTGCCTTCAGGTGCTTTGGAGAATAGGTTGACTCCTCTTCTTTGTGGCAACCCTTTAAATATTGGAACACTGCTATCATGTCACCTCAAATTCTAGTACTAACTTAACAACTGCAGTGATTCACTTAACAACTGTGGCAAGAAAGATTGTAAAATGGGCAAAACTCACTTTAACAAATATGTTGTTTAGCAACATAAATTTTGGGCTCTGTTGTGGTCATAAGTTGAGGACTACCATCAGAGGTGGGTGTCACATACTGTAACAACTTGTTCACCCGTAACCAAAAATGTGAACGCATGCACCGTGATGGTGTGTTGGTGCCAGGGTAGGTGGGTGGGCCCAGCCGTTGGTGGGAACTACTTGTTCGTCCGAATTGGTCTGAACTGGCAGCAGCCCACCACTGACTGCTGTACATGTATATGCATATTAGAGAATGATTGTTGAAGAAATGAATATGGAAAAAGATACTGTTTAATGCATATGCACAGAAAAAGGTAATTACAAAGAATGTAATCAAACATCATGGGATGTTAAGATTAAAAGATCAGGAAATTGATTTTGATGTAAATTTTAAAAAACTGTTGAAAGTGAGTGAAAAGCACTAAAAAGGACTAGAGAGTAAAATTTTAAAAAAAATAATACAATTATTTGGGATAAAACTGATTTAAGGGGCTGCTGCAAGGTATACTTTAGAGATTAGTATAGGAATGAGGTGTGATCTTAAAACAAATGCGATAAAGTTAATTCATTAAAAGAAAATCATAGATACTATGAGAATGATGAAAAATAGTATAGCTGAGGATGTAAATGCTACAACTAAAGAAATGTTAAAATGTGAATATCAAACATTTTTGAAGAATTTTGTTCTGAAAAAAGTTTGATAGTCATTTTTGTTTTATATTTTTTATGGGTTTTTTGTCACTTCTTAACTTGTTTTGTTATTTCCTTCCCCATTTTCCCGTCATATTACTTTGTTTTTTTATGTTCATGAAATATAATAAAAAAGACTTGTAAAAAAGATTTTTATGCGAACTCATGTATTTTGCATGTAAATATTTTTCTATGTGACATTTATACCCTATAGACAGAAGTAAACAAATTTGCATTTTTGTGCCTCTTTTAATTAATAATGTGTGTGTAGAGCTATCACATTAAATAATGCCAATTGTAGGTTCAGATTTATGAAGAAGATTTCAAAAAGGAAAGATCCGAGAGAGAGAGGCTCAGTGAAGAGAAAGAACTTCTGCAAAAACTTAATGAGCAATCACAGTCCCAGCTGAACAAATTAAAATCTCAGGTATGTCTCAAAACAAAAGTATCATTCCCAAAACACATACTTTATTCTTAGTTTCTCACTTCCAGTGTAACCCAAGAAATAACTGACATAATATTTTATATGAGATCCTCAGCTTGGAAGAAATCATTCCAGGCACAACTGCAGGGGGATCAGGTATCACAAATGGTATTGCATCAGTATGATACAAGCTCTGCGCCTTTTTTGCATGCATCAGGACGTTGCATATGTTTACAGCAGGGAAGAGCTTGTGCCCTGATGGTACAACACTGCTTCTGTCTAAATTTCTGATATCAGTAGAACGTGAAATATAATAAATATAATAATAAACACTGTCTCCTTAAATATTCTGTAAATAATATAAACTGGTCTTTTTTTCCTACCTCTTCTTTATGGATTCCAGAACATAGAAGAAAAGCAAAACAAATAATAATGGCTCAGTAATGTCTCCTACTGCAAGATTTACACTTTAAGCCCATGTTGAAATCTCTGGAAGTTAATGCAGCATACTCAAAAATAATTTTGTATAGGATCTCAACCACAAGAAACATGGTGAAAAAAATAATGCACTTGTATTTGGAGCCTAAATCTAAATGTGAGATCACCAGTGATTTTTTCAGTAGAATTGTAACTATTTTACTAAATCTTTAGACCAGTTTCCCCAACATAATGCCTTTCAGATACATTGCATTCTCTGGCTGGGGGATTGTGAGATAGGAAGGTGAACATAACATAGAGCGGGTGATGTCTGCCAAATCACAGCAGAATAGTAGCATTGTGCCAACAAAAAAGTTATTATGTACCGTATTTTTTGGAGTATAAGACAAATCTTTCCCCCCCTAAAAGGGGGTGAAAATTTAGGTGCATCTTATACACCGAATGTAGCCCTGCCCACCCACTGGTCCCTACTCTTTGGGACCTCCTTGCAAGCAAACAGCAAGAAAAAACAGCTCCTTTCAGCTTCAGCACAGCCTAATTAGCAAAAGTTGATTGGATAGGCCTTCCGACTCAGCTGTTTTGCGCAGGGCTCTGCTGCTTACTGCAAAGAGGTAAATTGCTGGAGCAGATTTTTTTTTCTTTGTGCTAATCAAGCTATGCTGAAAACGAAAATGAAAGTAAAGCAGGTTGTTTGCTGCCACGAGGCAAAATTGCTCAGAGGCAAAAGCAGAGGGAGATTTCTTTTTCTTCTTTTCCTCACCAAAAAAGGTAGGTGGGTCTTATACTCCAGTGCGTCTTATACTCTGAAAAATACGGTACTTAGCTCTAAGTTCTTGGAATACCGGCTTCTACCTTGGTCAGGACCTGTCACTTCTGATCAGCCAGTTTGCAGTTCTTCTAAAGTAGGGGTGTTAAACTCAAGGCCTGCGGGACCACCCTAGAAACAGCAAGGGACTAGCCCACGGTGCCTCTGCCAGTGAAAACGGAGCTTTGTTTTCACTGGCAGAGGGTTGCAGGAGGCTGTCGCAGCCAGAAACAGAGCTCGGGAGCCCATTTTCGCTCGCAGGCGGCCCTGACACAAGTGACATCATGCCCACCCTGGCCACACCCATCACGGTCCCCTGAGGTCCAACACAATCTTGATGCAGCCGTCTATGAAATCAAATTTGACACCCCTGTTCTAAAGAAACAAATGAAGGAATGAAAAAAATGGCAATTGATACTCTGTATCAATAAAACAGTTCATAAATGCAAATGATTTATGCACTCTATAGTGTATAAGAGAAATGAGTTCAGTCAATAACGCAGGATAATCTGTACCTAAGACATCCTTGACAGGAATTTGTTCAATAGTTTCTTGACAATTATTGATAAATGGAGGTTTGCATGACCCTTCTAAGTATTACATGCTATTACATTGCATTTAGAATATAAAATATGAATCTCAGGGCTGGTAAGGACCTCAGTAGTCTTCTAGTCCAATCTTCTGCTCAAAGCAGGAAGTCAAATGTTTAATAGCTTTTCACCTTGTATTCAACCTAAGATAGCCTGCTTAGTTTATTGAAATTACTACTCTTGACTGAGACCTTTATTCAGAAGAAGCAATATATCTTTTATCAACATTAAACAATTTTATTCATCAATGTCGTTTTTTAAAAAATTTGGAATACAGTAAAAACAATCACGTTTATAAGTTATAAAATGATGCAGTGAAAGGACCACTAGAGGGTGCAAGAGGTTCTCCTTTCAACAATTCTGAAATTTGCTTTTAAATAACTGCTTGATCTTGTCAGATGCTCCTTTTCGTGAAGGCTTGTAGGTACACAACTAATACTTGCTTCCTTATTGGATGAAGGGCCAGGCCCCTGTTACTCTGAAACCTAGCAAGGTACTGACAAATGCATATTTAGACAAGGCTGTAAGGCTTTTTAAAATTTCATCTTTTAATAAGTGTAATAATTAAATGCTACTTTCATGCAATATTTAATACCAGTAGTTCTTCGTACTGATACAACTTCTTTCTTTATAGCTGTGTATTATATCGTGTATATTTTACTTCATTGGCTGAATTTCTTCTCTTCACAGATTAAACACTATCAGAGAGAAAATGAATTTCTTCAGAAGCAAGTAAAACAACAGGTTTGTGGTTTTTGCTTTAGATTTATTTAGTGACTCCTAAGCTTGCAGACTATACTTTTAATATAACTACTATGGTTAAGCTAAAATTGATTAATATTCAGCTTTATAGTTACTGCAACTTAATAAGCTAAAGTTTTTTTTAATTAATTATTCTGCATATAATTCAATATTTTTGTAATGCACTATAATAAAAATATTTGGCTGGCATACATACCTGTTTATTGGTTAAAGCAATATAAAAATAAAAAACACAACCCTAATAGTTATACAATATATATATATATATTGTATAACTATTAGGGTTGTGTTTTTTATTTTTATATTGCTTTAACCAATAAACAGGTATGTATGCCAGCCAAATATTTTTATTATAGTGCATTACAAAAATATTGAATTATATGCAGAATAATTAATTAAAAAAAACTTTAGCTTATTAAGTATAATATAATTATAATATAATACATTTAGAAAATTAAAGTCATAACCAAATTTAAGCTTTTAAAGTTAAATCAACACTTTTCCTCAGAAATTTCGGGAAGTACTCTGCAACCTTATTTTAGGCTAATATAGTTTTTGAAAAGCATTTCCAAAAATGACGCCAATAATTAGAGTTTAGATACCTGTACTTGAATAGTATATTATCTATACTCTGATAATTGTGGTATAAAGTCAGCTCAAAGCAAGTTAAGGGACCCTTTCCCCCACCAAGGCTAAGACAATGTGGAACTTTTAAAAAATCTTATTTTGTATTAATGTATATTTTTAAATGTTTTAAAAAATAGTTCATATTGAACCAAAAACAATGAGCCACAAAAACAAGAAATACAAGCATGTCATGTTTTTCCAAGAAAAATAATTGTTTCTATCAATTTTGTTTTATGTCCATTTTTATATAGGCCCAAGATTTCCAAGCGCTTACAGAAAAATATTTCAGCCGGCAGCAGTTGTTTGTTCCTTCTTGTCTTAATTGTGGGAATTGTGGCCTCCTTCAGCCATCCTGTGAACCTCAAATAACATTGGGGTCATTTGGTGCTAACAGAAAACAGCAGCAGCCCCTGTAAACTGAGACTCTGTCAGCAAAAAGACTCAGAGACCAACATTTTACAAGCAGACTGTTCTGTGAGAATTTAGTCACGTTAAAAAATATGCAACTCTACCAGCAGTTTAATTTTATTTCCAAATACCACATTTCTTTCTTAGCTATAATTTCATTATATCCTCTTCCATCACTGACCTCATCACTTTGCTTTCTTCTGGGAATTTGATAAGTTTATTATGTAACAAGTAATGGACTCATTTCTATTATCTGCATTTCCTGCACATGAATTCTAAAAGGCAAAAGAAAAAAACACTTTATTCTTATTTTTCCCTTTTACAGCTGTACTTCTGTATCATTATCATTTTAAAAAGTAAGTTCAGATTATTAAAAAGATGCATGCATTTTTCTCTATCTACTGATATACATTATCTGTCTTTTCAATTAGAAAAATATATTTCACTTTGAAATTATTTTATGCATATTAATTTTGTAAACAGTTGTACATTTATATATAGTAGCTTAAATAAATTGTAGATAAAATATTTTTAATTTGAAGTTATAAGCAGAATGTAATTTATTTTACTACCATTTAGTTAATTTTATACAACCCTTTGTAAAAGAGATTGTATACATTCCTTTAGCCTGTCTTGATACAAAAAACACAATGACCAGGAAAATCACAAATAGATAGACCACAGTAGCTAAAGCTGCAAAAGCAAATATGAGAAGCTAAAGTCATTATAAAGCTTAAGAATACTTGAGATATAATACAGTCAGGTATTAAGAAAAGGGTAAATGTATGTAATGTATGTATGTTAAGGTGACCAGATTTTAACATTGGTAAAGAGGGACATTGTGGGTGTGGCTTATTTTGTGGGCGTGGCTAGCTGGTCATGTGACTGGGTGGGCGTAGCTAGCTGGTCATGTGACCGGGTGGCCATGGCTATGTCTATAGGGTAAGGTGAACAGATTTTAACATTGGTAAGAAGGACACCATTGTGGGCGTGGCTTATTGTGTGGGCGTGGCTTGGAGGCCATGTGACTGGGTGGGCGTGGCTACCTGGTCATGTGACCGGGTGGCCATGGCTATGTGTATAGGGACTATTCAGAGGGCTGAAAAGTCATTTCTGACAGGTCCTCACACTTTTGACTGGTCCTCACACTTATGACCATCCTCACATTTATGCCCGTGCAGCATTCTTAACAACCATGTCACTCATTTCACAACTGCTTCTCTTCAACAAGGCGACAAGATAGGGCAAAAATGTAAAATGTGAGGACAGTCGTAAGTTCGAGGACTGGTCAAAAGTGTGAGGACCAGTCAAAAATAACTTTTTCAGCCCTCTGAGTAGTCCATATGCACAAAAGGACTAACCAGAGAGCTGAAAAAAGTCATTTCTGACAGGTTCTCGCACTTTTGACTGGTCCTCACACTTATGACCATCCTCACATTTATGCCCATGCAGCATTCTTAACAACCATGTCACTCATTTCACAACTGCTTCTCTTCACCATGATGACAAGATAGGGCAAAAATGTAAAATGTGAGGACAGTCATAAGTTCGAGGACTGGTCAAAAGTGTGAGGACCAGTCAAAAATAACTTTTTCAGCCCTCTGAGTAGTCCATATGCATTAAAGGATTACAGCAATAGAGAGGGATGAAGGAATGGAAATTAGAGTATGAGTGAGGGTAAGAGAGGGAGGAAGAGAGGAGGAGAAGGAGAAAGAAAGAGGAAGTAGGGAGGAGAAAAAGAGGGTGGGGGGAAGAGAAAGTAAGAAGGAAAGAAAAGAGAGAGGTGGTAGGTTTGAGGAGAAAGATTGCTGTACAATAAAAAAGATGAAAGGGAAGAAAGCCAACCCCAAGCAAATATAAAGATATTAAGATAAAGAATGAATTGTTAAACTTTAAAGAATAAAAGAGAACAAATATGAATAAATAGCAATACTTAGAAACACACATACAAACATACAATGTATTTTCTTTGAACAGAATATTTGGCTGGTTCACAAATTTAAACAGTGTTTAGTCATTTCAATTAAATTTACAATTTCTATATTTCCTTTTTGCCATATTTATTCCTCATCTATTTTTAAAAAAAACCAATATTACCCTTCATCCTCATCTCTAATCTTAATCAAATTCAATTTTTCCCTTCTATTCTATATTATACCCCTTCCCATTGTCATCTATTTTTATATCCATCCTCACATTGTTTAATTATGTAATTATGTAATAGTTGTTTAATACAAATTCAACATTTTAATATAAATCAATTAGTTATAAAACTATCTTTTTTGTATATTAATCAATATGAACATGAATATTCCAATTATTTCCATGCAATCCAATTTCTTACAAATCAATTAATTATATTTACCAATAATAATAAACCAAATAATTTCTCCCATATATTCCTCCGAACCACAACTTAACCATTTCTGCTTTCAACACAATATACTATTAATAGTATCTCAATTATTACAATTCCCTAGTTAAATACAGCTTTTTTTCCTTTGTGTTTTAAAATCTTGAACTCTCCTCCTAAATTTCCCATTGTTTGCAGTTTTTCACCTACCTTTTTTGGGGAGGAAAAATAAAAATAAAAATAAATCTCTCTCTGCCTCATTTTGTCACGCTGGACCAAAGACCCTGGTTTCGGTTTCGTTTCTGAAGCTTAGCTAGGGGAAAAAAAAACTGCTTTACACTGATTGCCTGTAGGGCGGCCCTTTGAAGCCCCGGGCAAGAGTTTAAACAGTTTTTTTTTCTTCTAGCCATCAGCTGGGGCTCAAGAAAAATCGGGACTTTTTTGAAACGCCGCGGGACGCGGGACAAATTGCTCAAAAGCGGGACTGTCCCGCCAAAAGCGGGACGTCTGGTCACCTTAATGTATGTATGTATGTATGTATGTATGCATGCATGCATGTGTCAACATCAAGGCAGCATGAAATGTTTTGATCTCTTTCTGATCTTTGTCTTGTCTCTATTACTTATTTCTCAAGTCAATGCAATCACATGACATTCTTTGCAAGAATGAGTGGCAAAACCTAACAAATTTCATACATATTGATCCTGGGGGAAATACCAATTTAACATATGTTCAGCAAAGGATAATATAAGTCTGTGTTGTTCATTTAGGGACATTTCCCAAAATGCATTGCTTAGGATATAATTGTGCCATAAGAGTAAATAGATTTTTTAAATTTCTTATATATTTATAACAAAATAAAAATGTACGCACAAACACACACACACACACACACACACACACACACACACACACACCAGGTTTCTCAACCTCGGCGATTTTAAGACTTGTGGGCTTCAAGTCCCAGAATTCTCCAGCCAACATTCTGGCTGGGAATTCTGAAAGTCCACATATTTGGAAATTGCTAAGGTTGAGAAACACTGATATAATATAAACCAAATTTGATAATTTAATTTAATAATTTTGTTTTTATTTTTCTAACATGAAGTTCATTAAAGTTGGCCTTTATCCTACAGCTTTCACAATCTGGATTTTGAGCTGTGTAATATATTCTAAACAATTTTTGTCTTTCTTTGAGAATAGAGTTTCAAGGGTGGAATTGTTTGCTGATTGGCTGTTTTTGTATTTTTTTCTGAAGTCCTTATGATCATTTTCTTATACAATCAAAGCAGCTCTAACATGTATTTTTTTATAATCTGCCAAGCAATTTATCATCAAACATAAAAAGTGTTAAAGGAGCCTCAGGCTTAGCGTATGGAATACAGTACAGTTACTTCATTAAATTTTGACTTTCTATGTGCCTCTTTTGTATCTCACATTTACTATTTACTTTTTGGTTATCCATGAAAACTTTTGTTTAGTCTGAATGCAAGTCCTGGCTCTTTATTTTTTGGAATAGTTTCAAGACCCTAATTGTGAAAATGATTTTACTTGTTGTAACGCAGAGTTTGCACATTAGTGTTTGGTTTCTTTGAATATTCAGTAGTTCGACATAGCATTTCATTAAAAACCATTTATACTTTTGGTTGCATATTTATACCTCCAAATCCTCATTTTATTTATACTTTTTAAAATTCTTCTCTGCTAAAATAGGTATACTGGGCAATTTATCCCAGTATTTGCTTATAATTTTACAGTCTACAATAACAAAAGGGAGTGAGGGAGAATGGAAAGGAAAAGAAAAGGGGGCAAAAAATCAAATTGCATTATCATTGACCAGCTAGAAATTGTTCATTTTGACAGAGCTGTTATTACTCTAGAGCTAGTGAAATGGCTTGCTATTTTCCTCTTTCAGAGGGAAGGCAAATGAACCTTCAGTTATTTGCCTCTAAAGTAAATCAGGGAATATATATCTTTCCCATCTCTACTGTCTAGATCAGTGTTTCTCAACCTTAGCAACATAATGTGTGTGTACGTCAACTTCCAGAATTCCCCAACCAGCATAAAATTGCCATGGTTGAGAAACATTGATCCAGGGAGTTGTTAAACTGTAGAAAGTTGTTTTTTATTTCAATGTGAAAATATTGAGATAAATGAATATTAGTTGAAGTTCTTATATAAATTGCCTAGCTGAGGGTATGATGCCATAATTCTATTCAGTTCAGCAATTTGTCCATTTAGGCACAACAACTACAAACAAGCTGGATTAGAACAGCCTGTTTTTCCCGATGAAACTAACAGTGAGGACAATTAATCAATGGAACAGCTTGCTTGCAGAAATCGTGGGCACACCATTACTGGATGTTTTTAAGAAGAGTCTAGACCAGGGGTATCAAACTCAAGGCCCTGTAGGGGCGGCCCTGGAAACAGAGAAGGACCAGCCCGCAGTCCCTCTGCCAGCAAAAACAGAGCTCAGGAGGGCTGCATGCGGCCCTCTTGACCTCTGTTTCCGGCTGTGATTGCTTCCTGCAACCCTCTTTCAGTGAAAACAGCTCATGTGCCCCCAACATGAGTAATGTTGAGCTGGCCATGCCCACCCTGGCCACCCCCACCAGACCTTCCAAGGTCAAACACAACCCTGATGCGGCCCTCAATGAAATCGAGTTTTACACCCCTGTCTAGACAGACTTATCTAAAATGGTATAGGTTCTCCTGATTGAGCAAGGGGCTAAACTAGAAGACCTCTAACGTTCCTTCCAGCTCATTCTATTCTTTTTTTTAATTCTTTTTTTATTTGCAGTTTTCCTTTCACACCATACATATTTTGTGGACAGTGTATTGACTGGGTCAATGTCCTTTTTAAACAATGCTAACAATAATAATACAAATAATTATGCATAATCCTAATCTTCAACAATACCATTCTCTCTTTATAATTCTTTACCATTTTTTCCCATTAATTCATTTACACCTAAATAACATTTCTTTGCATCATGTATTTGTTATCCCCTACTAAGTCACAAATATTTAATATTTTAAAAATTACTCATTATTCCACCATAATTTCAATATCCCAACTGTCTAGGACTACTATAAGGCCAAATATTAACAAAATTTAATCAATCCAGGGATTATATCTTAAAGTCCCCACAATTTTTAATCCTTAAAAGTTTAAATTCAT